TGTCATTGACCTGTTTTTCATAGTTTTGGACAACACAGCACAGAGGAGTAAGATATATCAGGCTTTGTCTACAGGTGCCACTGGTAAGTAAGATCAGCTCATGCGTTATTAACTAATATGTACTAGCATTGCAAAACTAACACATTAAGTTAACAAAAACAGTAAATCGGGTACACCTGGCCCACTGATACATGTAGCCTTTTGCGTCAGTAGCGACACATTGGCACAACATGTGCTGTTAACATGACGTGATGAAAAGCCCCAACTGAAAGGTCCGGCGCTCACGCACAGACCTGGTATTCACTTTCCCAATTGACTACAAAAATGATGCCATAAAATCTCTGAGTGACTGTGACAGGTCCTGATCAAAACCAGCTGCCAATTAACTTAATGACTGAATCTATCACATTCAATTAGAGCGTGGCTGTGAGCTGTCAATCCAGCCCTCGGCCCGCTCGTTAAACAAAAACACAGACGCAGAATGATCACTTTAGGAGGCACGTCTCTGTCTCTGTGATCCTTATCTGACGGGCCCTGCGTCCTATTTGAAGCAGGCGGCCCTGACAGGTCCCACGGATAAACTGCCGTATGAAAGGGGTCAACCCAACCTCTGGAATCCATCGTCAGCTTTCTGTCTCTCGCAACTGACAAATGGTTTCAAACAGCGTTCAGGAAGCTTTACAGAGGTATTCCCTGATGTGCGTCTGCAGGGAGAACAAGAGAAAAGTGGAAAGAAACAGAGAGAAAGTTGAAAAAAAGCGATAGAAGAAAGAGATCTAAGTGAGATAAATGAACCAAAACAAAACAAAGAATGAGCACCACTTTCCCTCAATTGCCTCCTTACTTTGGCAAAGGGCCTACTGTAATCCCCCAGAGGAGCGGCTATCTGGCAGGAGTTTGCTCCATGGTCAGTGTCTTTAACCCCAGATGATAACACTTAGCCCGGCCATAAAGTATAGGCCCCTTTAACTGATCCATTAGCGTCCGATCCCTTAGAGTGGACCCGCTGGTGTCTCCTGAAACTTACCAGGAAGCCTTGAAGGAAAACAGCATGGCAGACATGCACTGAGATCAAAGACCCCCCCACACACACACACACCAACTCCTCCTCCCTGTCTCCTCCCGACGCCTATACACTTTGATTTAGTTTTTGCCCACCATCCACACTAAAAAAAGAGCAATGTGTTTTTTTCTAAATGTGTGTTTATTAGAGAGTCAACAGAGAGAGAGACAGAGATGGGGAATGACATACAACAAAGGTGTCTGAGTGGACTCTAATCGAGGACATTGTGGTTCATGGTCAGCACCTTAAATCCTTAGGAAACTATAGACGACCCCAAAAGTGGATCAGTATTAATATTGACAAACAATATAGTCTGGTCGATTCAGGCGTCAGATCAGAAAACGCTCAGGTGTTTCATATTGGATGGCAATGATAAACAACAGGATTGCCCCCCCCCCCCAAGAAAAACAACAGTTTCCCAAAAACATTTTAACATTCTTGTGCCAATAAAGCTTTCAAGCTGATCAGACCAGAAAACTCTTGTCCTGAAACGGTATAACAAACATTTGGTTTAGGTTAAAGGACTCTTTGTAAAGAGACAACAAGTTACTGCTCGTAATCTCCTTCTCCCTCTCTTTTACTCTGTTTCTCCTTGAACTTCCTCCACAGCAGCATTTCCTCCCTTGCTCTTATCATCATCCTATTAACCCCCTCTTCTCTCTCTCTATCATCAAAACCTCTTCCTCTCCCTCCCTCTGTCTGTCTGTCTCCTCCCGACATCCCCCTGCTCTCTGTCTCTCTCCTCCCCATCTTTACTACCAACATCCCCCTGTCTTCCTCCCCTGGTGTTTTCAATTCAGCGCCACTATGAACCAGCGCAGATTGTAACGCTATCAATTAGTCAGCGACTCCAGCACATTTATTCAATGGGGCCGCAGTGAGCTTTGGTGATTTACAGGCTGCGATGGAGATGTGAGGGAGGGATGTGCAGACGTGGGCTGATATGGGTTTTTGAGGTCTGTGGGAATGCAGCCTATATACCGTGTACCTTGAGGATTTGGTCCCTGTAGTAATGCGGTGAAAACCACCACAAGATGAAAAGGTTTTGCAGCGGAAGAGAAGAAATGCTAAGGAAAGAGAAAATGTGAGAGATTTTCTGGAAAGCAAAATGCCTCTTTTCGCAGGTATTGGATTTCAAACACAGCTTTTTTTGTGATATGCTATGGAGATGCTTTAAGATAAAAAAACAAAACAAAAGGAAACAGAAGGTATAAATACTGTATTTGTATCTTGGATTTCGCTTTCAAAGTAAAATTGCAACTTAAATCCCCATGACGTTGTTAAAAAAAGCTAAGAATTATAAACTCTGAGCAGATTTATGTCGATGATGAGATGCCACATATGATGGTTTTGATGCTGTTTGGCTAGATCAGAGTTAACTTTTACCCGGTGTCCTCCTTTGTACGCCAACTATTTATCGTCATCCAAAGAAAACCTTTTTTCTGTTGTTTCTAATTGTTTGACATGGTTACTCTTTCCTGATATTTCATTTCTTCGTGCTCATGTCTGACGACAGCATGACACTTTTATGTGTTCAGTGTGTTCACACATCAGCATGCATTAATACGTACACACACACACACACAGGATTCCTTCACATCCGCAGGTGTCACTTGTTCCCTTCTAACAGACGGTAATTGTTCCGACAACAACGAGTGAGCTTCTACACGCGTCGCTGTCTTGCCTGGAGATAGGAGGTCTGGTAAAAAGATGGAGTGTATTTCATGTTAGTCTAACAGCACAGGGAGCACGTGACATCCTGTTATTTGATGTAACACATCAGTGCCTCCTCTGTCCTTCATACAGGCCCCTACAAAGACCTCAGTTTGGTTCGTCCCACAGGGGGAGAGACAGAGACAAAGAGAGACAGAGTGTTCATTTTGGGATTTAGTCTTATTGTCTTTAGAGGAAAGTGCTTATTAGTCTTACTCACATTTTAGTCATTTTTATTTGATGAAAAGTCATTAATTTTAGTCAACTTTAAGTTTACATTACCTTAAGTTTAAAATGGATTTCACTCTCAATTTTGTCTTTTTGTCATTAGAAAAAGACACTATGACCCAGTTCAATATTATATACTACTACAGTTATGTACTCATATTTACAGTCCCCTGCAATGGGAGTTTTGGGGAGACACAGCTACTCTCAAATGGGATGGACAACATAATAGAAACACCGCAAACTAAATCCTCCAAAATGATTATGATGACCTAAAACTGTTTCAACCTAAACTCACCATTGTAACATTCACAAAAGTTAGATTAACTGGATTGTTGGACCACATTAATCCTGTGTACCTAATAAACTGACCGCTGAGGGTATTTTTCAAGAAGCGAGTAGCTCCTTATTGAGCATTATGTCAACACCACACAAAAAGTGGCATTTTGAAGTATACTCCCAGTTTATTGCAACTTGAGTCTTATTTAATTTCCTTTCACTAATAATAAAATTGCACTCAAAGAGTTCACTGCTGAGATTTATGAAAGTGGTGACGCTAAAAGTTTTAAAGAAAGTACTTCTTAAAAGAGAAAACAATGGAAAACTGGATTTTTGTTGTTTTTCCAAATAAAGCAATGTCACAGTGATGTGGTGTGTAACTGATGGCCAACGCTTTGTAAATAAGACCATTAATTGTGATAAGCTGGAATTATCCTGAAAATACAATGACCTTTTTCATTTTTCCTGAGTGACTGCTATACTCAAAACAGTATCAGTTTGTGGTATGTAGTGTGTGTGTGTGTGTGTGTGTGTGTGTGTGAGTGAAACAGAGCTGGGGAGCAGTCTGTTATGGGAGAACCAGAGAAGGGTTTGTTGGATGTCGGTACACACAGCCAATAGCCTGTCGCCTGTCACCGAGCCCCCGTCGTGTCTCTCAGTGTCTTCCTCTTAATTACCCATCATTCCTCTCGCGGCAAGGCCCCTCACAAATTACAGCGCATTGTCCCCCGCCGATCGGCCTGTCATCACGCGGCTCCATGTTTCAGAGCACGGCTCATTGTGGACGGAGGGCAGAGCTGGGGGGCCGAGGAGGGACTCTCTCTCACACACACACACACACACACAAGTGTATCAATGTGCATGCACACACACCGTTTGATTTGAATAGACATGCATGCAACAAAACCATTAGTGCGTCTCCACACACACACACTCACACACAAACGCACACACAGGCCAGGCCCATTAGCTCTGGTGCCAGCTGACTCTGTGACCCAGACGGTTTTCTGCCATGTCAGCAGGGCCAAATGACAGTGCTATGGTAGTAATACCCCCACACACTCACACACTCACACAAATACACAATAGTGCCGAGCAGAGTGTCGCTTTGGAGAATTAGACTTCTTCTCTGTCAATCAGCTGAATGACTGCGTCGCCCCCGGAGATGGGCAGAGAAAAAGTGCCCCCCCCCCCCCGTCTGTACCGTCGACCAGGTTGCGACAGCAGCGGAAAAAGGTTCAGTGTTCACATCAGGACACTTCTCAACAGGATAAAATGTTCATACAATACATACAGGTTTATTTTTCTGTCCAACTCTCAATACTTCCCAACTTCCCGTCTGTGACTCTCATCCCCACGAAGATGTAAATTGTTCAAAAAAAAGTTTGAAATATATATCTTTAGTTATTTTATCTAAGGCTAAACAGCTGGTCATTGTGGTTTGTAGCAAACATTACGTAAAAATTACTATATTTGTTGGAGAGTCATTTCAGTTGCGTATTTATACACATTTTATACACATTTGGTGGAACAGTGAGTGTTTATGACAATAGAGCAGTAAGATAAATAAAGCTATAGTTACACAGACAATATGTTAATCCCATACAAGTTTTTTTTTCTTTTTTGAGTACTGAAGTGGAAGTGTTTTTCGTTAAGTTGAGGAGATATTTTCATCAATAAACTGTCATTTCTGTCACAATTGTTCCCTCCTCTTGCTCACCTTGATGGCTTGAGGAGGTCTTTCGCAGGGACTTCGTCCTTCAACATTAATCTCCCTCATTCAGACTCGTTGCAGTTCTGTTTATCTCGCAGGAGGAACTCTAGGTGCTCTGAGCCTCCGTCTGCCAAGTTGTTGCATCAGCTGAACGTTAAAAGCCTATTGAAAAACAAACACATTGTAAACTTTAATTGTAAGCATTTGCCTTGGGTATGAGGACTCACAATTTTACTGGTTCTTATTACCTAAAAATGCAGGCAAAACACTAATTAATAATCACTAGCATATGCTGGGTGAAGTGTGGAAATCTTTTACTGTGGCATTAGGTGCAAATGAGATTAAAAGTGCAGTAATAGCCTTCGATTCAACATGTTTACTTTAAATAGCACCTCTGACAACGTGTTTTTCCTGAAATGGGCAAAAATGTTGATAACAATTTGACTTTTATTCTTAAATCACATTTAGATTTCACAGATCACATTTGTATCTGAGAAGGAGACTAGCTTTGGTCGACCCCTTGAGCTTTATGTCTTCGTACTGCATTTGCTCTGGAGATTTTGTCCTACAGTGTTGCTAAGATCACAAAAAAAGTGGCATGTGTATGAAGAATTTAGCACCCTGCAGCTCCCAAACAAATACCTCTTAATTATAAGCAATTGGCCCGCCTTCCCCACCGACCGCTGACTGGGACACATGAAAGCGTTGGTAATTGTAAGAGTTGCTGCGTTTATGTGTGTGGAAGGGGGCTCAATGTGACGTGTCTGTAAAAAATAAAAATGGAAGGCTCTCATTGAATACAATGACTTCCTTCCTCTCTCTTGCTGTATCGCCTAAGCTGGGGAAAATGAAAAAAATCTCCATTTGGCACTGATTAGGGAAGACGCAAATTTGAAGGAGGGGGCTTCGAGACCACAGGGGTTACACACATGTATCTGAAGCCACGACACTTCGGGCCCCCTCTAATTTAGATGTCTAAGAATTTGCTGTATGTGCTGCCTCATGCCAGTAAGTCTCAGGCTCACTGTAAATAAATGGCACAGGGCAGTGTGCAGTCTCCCCCATTTGTAAGTCATTAAAATACTTTCTCTGTGACATATTAATTAGAGTGTTGTGTTCATGTCTTCTCGCCTGTGCATGAAGAGTGCGGAGGTTCTGCATGCTATCTTGCAAATGTGTGAGCTTGTGTGTGTGTGGTTTCATTCAATGCTACATGATGTGCTGAACAGGGACAAGATAGCTGTACACACGTTCTAACCATCTGTAACCTATCGTATTAACACTTAGAGACACAGTTTTAAGATGACTCACACTGGAAGTTTAACTGTACTTTCGATGGCAAACAGGGCAGTAGCACATGAACGTGATGCATTCCCAACATCCTCAGACAATGCTATCCAGAAACAAAAAAAGGAGGTTTGATTAATTAATTTACTGTTTACTTATTTTTGACCACTTGGAGGCAGTGGAATTAGCTCTAAATCTGATGAATGTAAGTCCTATATTCACACTCCTTTTAGCTTTGTTTTGTTCTCCACCTTATCCTGAAGGAAATACTGTATGTGTCTCAGCTGCTAAATGCTACACTATGTTCACCAGCTAGTCGCTAACTTTGTCCATCTTCTGCTTGGTGAGGATTTTTCTGTTCTGTCTACTATAACATGTTTGGTATCGCGGGAAATTAGAAAATCCTAGCTTTGTAAAGCACCTTAAAGCATCATGATTTGAAACATACATGTTAACGAAGGCGACAAAGCAGTCAAACTTCACATTTTATTGCCACATTGACATAAATCTATGTTCTTGCAAAACGATCTCACCAAAGCATATGTTATTTTTGCTAAAAACGGCAGGTTTTAGTTAATTACGGATCTGCTATAAAGCTTGGGCCGAACATGGGGCCATAGTAGTCAAATTTGAGTGACTTTCACTTGCGGAAGCTCTGGCTTCTTGGCCATCTGGTGGCTGTATCGAAGAACATACACCAACAAGCCTAATTTCATTCTCTTTCTGTTGCTGAGACAGATTTGTGGATATCTCATATAACTGTGATTTTCAAACTTTTTTCAATAATGTAGCACATATTTAACATATTTTTCAGCCAAGTACCACCTGACAAGCGCAAAACACAAGACTGAACAAAACGTGAACGTAATGCTGTTTGTTGCAAAGGTTGACAGTGAACAGTAGGCTTGGTCCAAACACCGCATGAGTATATCTTTATAAATTGTATCATGAAAGGGGTATTTCACTGTATTTTTTATAAAATTTACAGTCACAGTTGTAGTAAAGAGTAGTAGAATACATTCAGTTGCATCATTATCCGAGCTCTTGGTTTAAATGGTGATATTGCCTTTGAAATTTAGATTAAACACTATGTCAGGATAAGTTTATTAAATGTCCATTTATTTTGGAATGATAATATAAGTAGGTGTATTACAATGGATTCATATTCCTCAAAGTTTCTTACCTTTCAAAGGTGACCAGAAACACCTGATTTATTTCAGGTATGTTATCTTAGGCGTTACTTAGGGCTAGGGCTCAAACAGAGTCTAAAAATGGGCTACTGTAAAAAAAAAAAATCGGCTGATATCTTCATGTGTTTCAAACTGTTGATAAAACCAGACAAAAAGAAAAACAATTATTTTTTTTTTTGACAAATGTGTTTATTTTTGCTTGGAAGCTGAATTCTGGATGTTGCAAAAAACAAACAAAAAACGTGTGTATAATGTGTTCTAGTATTGAGGCCACTGAGGAGAAATATGGCGCAAAAGAATATGGGAGATTAATTAAACACCGCACACTAATTAGAAGAGCAAAGGTAAATCTATTTCAGCTTAAATTTAATTAAAATTGAATTAGTAAAACTCAGAATCTCTTTCCGTCACTGATACAAACATAGCATTGGTTTCCCTCTAGTGTATCTTCTCGCTCTTCATGAGCATTATCTTGGCATCTCTTGGCCTGCTGGGAGAATTTATGGCTCTAATAACTTTCATTCGAGGCCCCTGTAGCATCAGTAAAATGTTTACTACAAGAGCGCAAAGAGGATCTTTGGTGAAGCCATGCGTTCGTTACAGAGCCTTTGACTCAATTCAGGGTGTATAAATACATCCATTTCATTATGGAGGCGAGTCAAATATTTGTTTCAGCGGTTTTCCCCCCATATAATGTAAATTGCTGCAAGCTGTTGCTCTTGGAAAATGTTTTCTCATAATGCTTTTCTGCCTTCACATAAATCACAGCTAAATGTTGCATTGAAATGACTACAGACAGGCAATTTATTCTTGGCTTCCCTCATCCTTCTCGAGAAAGGCTTGTAGCAAGAGGGTCACTTTGGTTTTTAATAGCGACTGTCATCTGTTGACAGTTGTTCATCATAATTGTCAAATTCATTGTGTTTTCCTGAAAATATTTCTTTGTTTTCTCTGCAGTTATGACAGCTGTCAAATGAAGTAAGGGCTGACAAGAATTAGGTCACTGTGAGGCAATGACCACATGTTTTTTCATTTTTATCGTGAAGTTAAGTGCGAATTGTTATATTAACCATCCTAGTGTGTTACTAAGAACGTTGCTCAAGATATACTCTCAGAAATATCATCAACCTATTTACGAGAGTTTCTTGACTTGGCTTCCATGCTACACCATGTAACCAAACCCGCAGACCTGGAATACCACCTCAAATTGATACTGACATTTTTATTCCCTTAATAAAAAAAGAATAACTTCAATAATATACCATGTGCAAGAAGATCCGGTGGTGAAATTATAGTTCCCTAATAACAGAAAACCGAAGTTGTTTGATGCAGTGAGAGGGATTGCGGCTGCTGAGCCGCTCCGTGTCAGTTTTAAATGAATCTCAGTGGGGTTTGCCGACAGTTGGCTCCGTGTTCGATTGAGTCACCCCCCACTGAGGGATTTTGGTGAATATGTCAGCAGTGGCAATCAGTGTTAATCCTGAAAAAGTCTGTGTCTTTGCTGCCTGTTAACTGAGGTCTTACATAATAACGTCACTGTAGAGCAGACGTGCAGCTGATGGTGTGTTGAAGACACAGCTGAAACAACTGAAACAGCCCTCCTCAAAGTCACCAACGACCTCCTCCTCTCCTCCGACGCTGGTCACCTCAACATTCTCATCCTCCTCGACCTCACTGCAGCTTTTGACACCATCAACCACAACATCCTTCTCTCCCGCCTCGAATCCTCCCTCAACATCACCGGAACTGCTCTCTCCTGGATTAAATCATATCTCACAAACAGACAACAGTTAATCAGTATCAACAACTGCACCTCCTCCACTGCTCCTCTGTCTCAAGGCGTCCCCCAGGGTTCGGTGCTTGGTCCTCTTCTGTTCATCCTCTACTTGCTCCCTCTTGGTAACATCATCCGTCAACATGGTCTTCACTCTCCCTCTGGAACTCTCTCCCCAAACACATCCGAGACTGCACTGACCTTTCCATATTCAAATCACAGATCAAAACCCACCTGTTCAAAACTGCTTTTAATGTGTGACCACTATTGTCTATTTTATGTTTTTAGTGTATTGCTTTTATATATGATGATGTTAATGTAAAGTGTCTTTGAGTTTTATGAAAAGCGCTATATAAATAAAATGTGTTATTATTATTATTATTATTAATGCCTCTGACACATTATTATGAATCTCTTCTTGGCAAGACCTGCCCTATGCATCATTCAAGCTGCTGGGATTGGCCAGGTGTCCATGCTTTCCAAGGCACTGGTAGCCTGATTTGTTCAGGTCATATGCCCTGACCGATGGGCTGTTCTGACCCTAACTACTTGAGGTCTATGCCTAACCTTAACCAATTGTCTCCGCTTAATACGCAGGGCGGGTCTTGCCGAGAAGATTAGTGGGATTCATAATGGAGCCAAAACCCTAGTCCTGCCCTACTGTGATAGGCTAGTGCTACTGTGCTGGGATTGCCGTATTATCTGGAGATAGCAATGTACTTTCCTACCTGCGACAAGACAGGAATCAGAATCCGGGAGGTCAAACAGGATTCGGTAAACAGGATCAGGATCAGGATCAGGATCAGGATCAGGATCGAGCTTAGATAACTAACAAACACTTTAGCTTTAGCAACTGACCACTAAAGGTGGACCGGTATAAATACTACTGAGGCTATCAGTGAAAGGGGAAGCAGCTGTGAGGTATGGGGGAGGAGCAGATCAGGTGGGAGGGGTGACCTGAGGACAGGTGAGTGTGGCTGGGTGTGAGATGACAACTAGGAAGGATAATGAGTGAATAATCCTGAGAGATCAGGGAGGTGTTGTAACGGAAACAATACTTTTTCTCCCCTTGACGTCTCCTGATTTATTTTGTTTTACTGCAATGTAGAGATGCTGCTGAGCAGTTATAACATTATCAGTGACTTACAAAAATGGCAGAGAAAATTTAATGGACATTTGGTTTTGGAGCACGTCATCGTGGTTCTCTGGCTGTGATGCCCAGATGCTGGACGGGGTCCCTGGAAAATGTCAAAGATTAGAAACTGATTGGGGGTTGTGAGCTGTTGTCAGGAGTCCCAGAACTTTCTATCCACACCCCTGTTTACTGGTCTGGACTTGGCAGACTTTTTCAGATGGTCACGAAGAAAAAGCAAGGGCAATTGGATTTGATTAACTTGGAAGATTATGAGAATGAGTCCTAATTCAGTTTTTCTCCCGCATGGTTGGCTAACACTGATAGTTTGTGAGGTCCATTTAGAGTAGACAAATAGCTCAATGGCTCAATGCTTGAATTAATATTGAGGGGGGGGACACACAAATGTATTACTGCTATTGCAGTTCTGGAAATGGAAACTGAAATCACGCCCTTATTCACTCACTCGCTTTTCCCGTAACAATGAACAGTCAATCGATTACTCTATGGGCAGTAAATTGAGATTTCAGACTTATGAAACATAATTTTGCACCAGCACTGACAGGCTGCAATTTTTACATTCAGTCAAAGAATTGCAGTATGTGACTTTAGGGACATTACAAGTGGTGTAGCTGTGAATACTGCTTTTTCATTCCATTGTGGCTTTAATTTAGGGATGTTTATGGTGCATATATTTCACAGAATTTGGACACTCAAATGGCAGAAAGTAAATAAAGAGCATTACATAGCAAACAGGAAGTGAATTCAAACACAGCTTCTACTTTACGGAAGAGAGAGAGAAAGAAAAAAGAAAACGAGGAGAATAAACACTCAGTGTTCTGTTTACGGTGAAGTAATTCGTAATCCAATATGATCTTTGTGTTCCTTTAGTTAAATGATGGAATCCCAAATATGCTTTGGGTGTCTACAATGACACTAACAGAGAGAGAGAGACGAAGACGCTAAGACGGAGAGAAAGACAGGTTGGTGAGGACGTTCTGAAATGAAGAAAGAGACAGCCACATAGAGATACCCCAAACAGAGAGATAGATGTGCTACATCACTCCAATGTTGATGTTTTAACACAGATTATACATCACACATAGCAAAACGTATCAATACGGATCACAAGCGAAGCTCTTAAATATATACAGTATATAAAACCAGACATCACCTTGGGAACAGGAAACTTACTGTGATGTATTTGTCATGATCTGAAATGTTCTAAACCGAAATTATCTACACATTAATCACCAATGAAAACAATTATTGGTTCCAGCTCTCATGAGTTATATCCACAATAATACAGTTACAAAAAACAGGTGTGTCTTCAGTGGTTGATTGAAAGAGACAGTCCAGTTGTTTAGTATGGCACTTCCACTAATTCGAGGGACTCACAAGAGACATGTTTTTAAAAGTTTGGTCGAAGCAGAGGCTGCTCTCTTTCAAACCCCACACTTTGGGAGTGTGGGGAGTGCCACACTTGGGATTTCTGATAAAAACAGATTTAAAGACCAAAAGTCTTAAGACCAAACTGAGACTCCCTTGACAACATAATCAATTACTTTTTTATTACGATTTTTAAGAGCTTGCTTCAGAAAAGAGAAGAGACAAGCTTTCACAGGCTCCTCGTGATGAACTGTAAAATCAGTGCTCCTTTTTAGTGAAATTTGGAAAACATGTAACCTTTCCAACAAGTTCAGCACATGGACAGTTCAAAGTTGTAGAAATAAGATGTCCCTCTGTTTGCTCCTCTATGAGGGGGTTAATTACCAGTTATTTTAATGAACAGTAGGCTCACAGACAGTATCTTCATCTTCATAAAACTACTGATACCACAGCGCTGGTATTACATGACACAGAAACCAGACCTCTTGTCTGGATACATTTTGGAACCATGTTGATTGACAAACAAATGTACTGTATGGTAAACCCACTTTGGTTTTAGTAACAGTGTTTTATACTCAGAGATTTAAACTGCTTTTCTGTTGCGTCATGCTCTGCGTTTTTTCCTGAAGATTTTCCGATAACTCATCTCGTGCTACATCTTAGCTGACCGAGTCATGGATTCAACAGATAACCATTAATCACACCGTGACCTTCCTCTCAACCAAGCCCATCTAAAGCTCATTCATCCCTATTTGCCATGCGGCTCTGCGGGTCGATAATTGGCAAAGCAAAACATAGATTAAGCCCAATTTGGAGGGTTTCAACTTGAAGCTTAGCAGAGACAGCCGGGCTCAGGCTGAACCGGAGTTCACTGCGCTCTGGTCCTCTCTGCCTGTCTGAGGCTGCACCGGGAGGGGACCGCAAACCTAAATCAAACCAGTCTGTTCTCTGTTTGTGTGTGTGCATGTGTAGAGAGAGAGAGAGAGAGAGAGAGCGAAAGGGGGAAAGAAAACAGTGTGTGTGTGTGTGTGTGTGTGTGTAGAGCATGCAACAGTTCACTTCTCCCTGCGCTACCATCCCTAATAGAAACCAACTTCCAGCATTCAAACTCCATTTGTCTCATTAATCTATTAGCTTAAAGTTTAATTGCAGGATGTTGTAAAATGATTTGGTCTACGAGTAATGACAATATTTCGGCTCCGTAATGGCCAGAACAAAGCAAACCAAAGCTAAGCTAAGCAAAGCCGTTTGTTTTTCTTCCTCACGGCATGTCTGGGCTGTAGATTTGGGCCTTTACCTCGCCGTGTCGGTCGGATAATTGTTTACTGGCGAGGTTTTTGTAGCATGAGGGCAGCATCACGGCAGGATAACAAACTAATGACTAATTTCATGGCCATTGAGTCATTTTAAAAAGACCATCACGAGGATCAACTTTAAAGAGCAACTGTGACTAATCCGACAGCAGGTACTCAAGGTATAGTCAACAGGGTATAATTCCCTTGTAAAGTGAAACAAGACGGGTATTAAGATGTATCCACATCAGCTTTTTACTGACTTTAATGGCCTCTTAGAAAACATAATCCACTTAAATTCTGCTCATCAAACTGTGGTTGAAAATAAGCAGAGAAAGACCACATTCCTCTCAGCAACCGTGGGAGATGACCTCTAGGTGGCAGCGTACCTCATGAAACCTCCACCACTGTAACAACAACATCACTCCAATTACAAAACCTCCTCAATTGTCCTCCCTTTTATTTGCTCCGCAGGGCAACGAAACTGGATGACAGTGCGTCCGAACACACGATAAGTTATGATCAGCTGCCCCGGCTCTCGCTCCTGCCCTTTAAACAGCAGCTTGATAGTATCTGTGAGGCGCGCTGGGCATGTATAGTGTTACTCTCATCAAAGGGGACTGAATGGGGGTGAATGGAGGATGATGTGTGTACTGCCTCTGCTTAGTGGAGGCATTTCCAGCTGGCGCCAGGGCAGAGGAAACCCACTGAGACACACAACAACACACACAGACACAGGGGTCAGCCTGGATTCACCCTCCTCCTCCTCCTCCTCCACCACCTCCAGGCCTCTTGGCCTCCACCGCCTCCTCTTCTTCTACCCAAACCCTCACCCCCCGCCTTCTCTTCCCAGGCCTGGCCGCCTCTCATCTGCTCTTTCTCTCTTGTTCATCTTTTCTTCTGCTTTTCCTTCCATCTCTCTGCTGTCTCCTTTTCTCTTCTTTGCTTTCTCTCCTCCTATTTATCAAACTTAATTACATTTTAGCACACTTAAAAATGCACTAAAGAGCCAACTTGGGGTTTTTGATTTTTTTTGTGTGAGAGTGTAAAGAATACGATTTTTTGATATACTTAATCAAAAGTAAGTGTATGGAGTAACATTTAAGAGCAACTCTTAAGTGATCACATGATTTACCACATGCAGGGCACACGTCATTTTGAACCCCACTGCATTTCATGGCAACCTGCGCCCTGTATAGTCGGTTGAGGCAGAGACTATTAATTGAAATTAGGCATTCACTTTGTGTGTTTAGGGATAGCCCATTGGTCAGGGCATAGGACCTAAGCAAATTGGGTTACAGGTACCTTTGTGAGCATGGACGCCTGGTCAATTCTAGCGATTGAATGCTATGGAGCACGAGTTTTGCCAAGATAAGCAGTGGGATTCTTAATAAGGTGTAAGGCACGGACTGATATGCGCGAATGCAGACGAATGAGGCAGTACTTGTGCTGAATGGGGGCAGTGCGAAGTGGGGTCAACCACACACACACTGCTTTTGGTTAAGGCTTCGACTTTGCCGGTCAAAGTTCACTGAAGTTAAACTCCACTCGATGCAGAAATACACATTTTGCAAACCAAATGAATATATTATTATTCTTTATAAAGAAAAGAAGAAAAGGACTGTGTATCCTGTCAAATGTTCAAATCGAATGCAAATGATAAAACGACCACAATTATATATTGCTTCAGCTCACATATAGTTTATAAAGTTATTTTATTATTATGTACAGTCACTCCAACATGTCTGACAACATGTCCTCTCACCTTAGTGTAAATACTGCATCCATCTATGATGTATCTTGACAAACTTAAAACTTTTGGTATTACAATAAAATAATTTCACAAACAACCGGCTACAGGTTCATAATTAACATACGGACAAGAGAGTGGCAAGATGCTTGTTAGCTAACTCTCCGCTGGAAGGCGAATAAGCATATTTTCCAAAAGAAGGTAGTGAGTAAAAGTGAAGGATTTTTACTTTCACTTTAGTCCCAAATTGTAATAATTTGATAAATATGACCCTTTCTCTCTGTCCCACCTTCCTGTTTGCTTTCATCTCCTTCTTCTGCTCTTGACCTATACCCATCTTTTTATTATATATTCCATTGTGTTGAAAGAATGACACACTTTAAGAGGAAGCTGCATCATAACGCCTCTTACATCAGCTTCAATACACAGAAAGGCAGGAAGTCAGTATTTAAATCACCACGAAGCTTTGTTCTTCCTCTCCAACATTTGAGTGACATCGGGGCTCAGAGGACTTTGATTCTAGTGGGATGTTATTAGCGGCTAAATGACTCTTGGCTCGACCCTCCCTCGCAGTCTTCTGGGGGGAAGGGGGGACTCCGAACGGTCAGGACAAATTAAAAAGCCAACCTGCTATTTTACTGTTCAGATCTGTTGATGCTATAAAGCAGGAAAATGGGCCTCTGCGGCCTTTACGTGACTACTCGTCTGATTTTACGTGATTTTCCCCCGGCCCTGAATCTAAGCCTATTTTTTGGCACAACATGGTAAGCTTTGACCAAGCATGGGATCTGTAAATGCCCTAATAAATATTTTTTTAACACTTTATTCAGTTCCATGCCCTGGGCCAACAGCGTCTAAAGTATGTCACCCAGTAACAGTGGGGAGAAAAAAGAGCCTACAGGCTAAGCAGGACGTAATGTAGATTTAATTAACAAGCTAAGCATGGGCTCTCACTCTCTCTCACACACACACACACACACACACACACACACACACACACACACACACACACACACACACACGTGCGACACAAAGGCACTTGCACAAAAACTTTAGAAGACACACATGATTTGATTTTCACGCATGCACACACACATACACATACAAAATTCAAGCCACACATCCCTGGGTTTGAGCGATGGTGTGAAAATATGTGAGTGTAAATGAGATGCAGACAGGCTCACAGCAGTGAACCCAGCAGAGAGAGAGAGAGAGAGAGAGAGAGAGAGAGAGAGAGAGAGAGAG